GAGATCTCAGCTTGTCGTGCCAGGTATATATTGCCAGGTAGTGAAGCAGAGTAAGCGTACAAGAGGCGGTGCTTGTTTTTACTGAGAGGTTTTATGCTTTCAGATCTTTTACAAAGAGTTTGATATCATTGCGTACGGCATGATTGAAATACATGAATGGTATTTACCCGTTTTGTGATTAGGAATAATGGAATGCGTCAATGCAGATGTACCGTGAAGCAGTAAGCGTAAAGGCGACGCTGCTTGTTTTTCCTCAAAGGTTCCATGTTTTCAGATCCTTTACAAAGAGGTTTGCTATCATTGCTTACGACATGATTGAAGTACATGACCGGTTTTTACTCGTTTTATGACGGAATGCATTGTTTGAGTTAGAATGCATATGTGTCTATGCAAGTGATGAACGTTTTGCCTGTGTTATTTCGTAATGGTGAAAAATGTCACAAGCTATTATGAACTCACTGTCAAAGCAGGGGTTTAGGCTTTGGCTTATTAGCTTTGACGTGTTTTCAGGCGTTTTATCAGGCGTTTCTGTATTTGTATTTTTTGCCAGGCGTATTTGATATTGCCTGCCAAAGATGCTTTACCAATTCTATACTGTAATGCAAACACCGATCTGGACATAATGTACTACAGTACGTATCTGTTTGGACAAGCCACTATTTCACATGTTATCATCTCTCAAATGATGTATACGTATTTCTTACCAATCAAAATTTCAATTTTCCTACACAGTCACGTATATCCTACGTAGGAAATGTGTACAACGACAGGGGAATTAAAAAAACAACTTTCTCAGGAATGTAAATTTAGGTTCCTAAAATAGAAACCCTCGCTTAGCATGAAGTGTCCGTCAGACCACACACAACAATGTGATGTTTGCAGTGCAGAGTTGACTCGTGTGACAAATACATGTCCGCGATCACAAAAACTGTTTAGATGTGAGGAGAGCCAGGTTGAATTATGCACATATCGATGTAAATCTTCAGGAAGAAGGGGTATGCAGTGAGGATCTGATAAGAGAATGACAAAAATACTGCCATAAAAGTTGTCCGCTCTCGTCCTATTCTGTAACGTAACATGCTAAGTTGAACGTTACTTCACTTCAAATTCATCATCTTTACCTCCTCCTCTTCACAGAAAATTGCTTGGATTTGTGCAAAGATAAAATGTAATAATATTCCAACACACTGGCTCACTCAACACTGTTACAGGTTTATAACAGGTAGTTTTGATCTGTGCATTCAGGATCTGTGCACACTAGTTTTGATCTGTGCATTCAGGATCTGTGCATTAAGGATCTGTGCACACTAGTTTTGATCCGTGCATTCAGGATCTGTGCACACTAGTTTTGATCTGTGCATTCAGGATCTGTGCATTCAGGATCTGTGCATGCAGGATCGATCTGTGCACAGTTAAAAGATTTAGATTCAGGGGAACAGTTTATATTTAGATTCTGAATGCAAAGATCGATCTAGATTTCAGCCGTTATCACTCAACGTTCGGCACCGTTACAGGTGTAAACTCATGTAGGCATAATACCGGTAATGCGAATTTGCATCGGGACAATGCATATGCTATTTGAATTCCATAAGGGTACGATATTCAAGTAAATCCCTCTAGAAGCGTGGAATAACCCAAAGAAAGACGCTTTTATGGAAAGAGACAGGCGAGGCGCTATGCAATCCTGATCTATATCTATAGGTCAAAACGTTAAATCCAAGATGTTATGACAACTGTCATACATAGTCACATCCAACTGACTCTTGGTTTTTGTATGAGACGGAACACGTGAGGAAAAATATACTAGGTACAAAATTAAGAAAATACATCCCTGTATGTCATGCCAATACTGTCTATGCTAATAGAAGGACCGTAATTATGAAATACGTCTAGAAAATCTATACATTAGCATTTAAGAGTATCAGCTGTGGATTAGTTGAAGAAATTACCTGCATTCTAGGATGCTGTGGAAAAGGTTCCTAGTGTGCTGTGTCAACCTGCTCTCCCGGACTAATCTGCACCACGATGTAACCACAGTTTGATCAACCATCTACACAATGTCGGCGTAATCATCCGTGAACTCTCTGCCCCCACAAACCAAATAAACTTTTCAGGTTCCGGCCCGTCATTGTTACGCCAGGGGATGTCAAACGGGTATGTGAGAAAATAAGCTCAACCCTTACCAGTTTACCTTACGCGTTTTCACCGATAAACCGTGGTAAAGGATATCACTTCATATCTGGTGATAACACGACGAATTGAGAGTTCTGTACTCAGTATTCAAGATCGTATTACTTCTGAAAGACTTTGAACTTGGCCTGTGACTTAGTCCTCATCGGCAAGGACATTTTCGCAATATCCAACGGCTTCCACTTGCACGCGAACAGATATTCTAACGAGAAGGCTTCAGGCAAAATATGACAGCCTTTCTGAACCATTTGCGCGCTTTATTCATCATTGGCAAGCTCTATCAAAGGTGGGGGGGGGGGCGAACGCTAGGCTTCTTGTTGTTTTTGTGGTAAATGGTAGTTTAACATTCGACATATCTTTAAAATGCGGTGGAATACTGAAGCCGTTTACCCGAGAAGGGCTATGTTTACGTTCCTCGGACATTCACAGACAAGAAGTCATCTGTAAAATGAAAACAAAATACCCCCGCGGTTACATCATGTACGTGTATGCGTGCTACATGTAGGCGAAGCCTCTCTTTTCGCTTTGCCCACAGGCACTCGCGTCATATTCTCAAGGTTTTGACACTAGATTACGTATTTTTTACACGCGAGGGCGTTACTTTTAAGGCTGTTATCGTTTCATGGTTTTTGGTAGCTGTCGTTGTCTGTTTAGTTTTAGAAATGTAGAGAAACCTGGCTGGAGCCCCAGAAAAAATGTTGTCCCCTGGCGGAATCTACGCCACCTGCAGCTCTTGCACGCGAACAGACGTTCTTTTCTGTAATCAACCCCTTCTTATCGGTTGATCCATTTACAAGTCATTTGCGACCAACATATTCTTTGTGTGCTGTCAAATGGCCCCACTAATGGCTTAACTAGTGGTTTACTTTGGCACAGGATAGACGGATAAGGTTACGAACAATCGCGAATACTTTCAGCACCTTGACCGCAATCAAAGTTGTTGTGCACACAAGTTATCGTATGATCGCGAGAATGGTCATTGTAAAAGCATTCCCGTGTAAACTCGTGCAGACCAGTTTGAATTAGGAGATAAGAGGGAGGAACATTGTTTGTTAGTGAAACGTGAGAAGATAGATCTGAGTTCTTATCAATGTGGGCTCTGTTGATTCGTTTGTATGTTGGCTTAAAGGCACAAGACCTGGAAGCCTGCCAGCGAATACTGTTTACCTATAGAAAATCTCCAAGGACGCAGCGAATTCGCTGTATTCAGAAGCACTTGTGTTTAAATGAATCATTTGTATACTAGTGGGCAATTTGCTTTATTTCAATTAGTCTGTTTTATGGCATGCAATATATTCACAATAAAAGTTACTCAAGCAACGCTTAAGTTACCAAAGCTTAAGTAACTTTTTTGTGTGTGTACCTCCTTACCTGGGTATTTAACCTCTATCGACTCATACAGTATATTCCGGAACTATGATAAACATGCAAATGCAGCGTAGACTTATAATTGGGAATAGATATGTCTGTCTATTTATAATAGTAAGCACGATGGGTGACCTAATTTACGGGTTTTGTATAAAGGGACCACCGCAAGGTTTCCTCTGACCGGACGTATCGCAAGTCAGAATCAATAAATGATCAGGACATAACCTTATCATCGGAACTGGCCCAAGGCTTGAACCACGTGCACTGGCCCCGGAATAGCTACTAACAGCGGTCTTTGTTTTCATATACTGGAAGGGTTGTCATCATAAACATACATGTGTGGCGGGCATACAGACTATCACAGTGACTGTCAATGCCATATCAACTCTCAACCATTTACTATAACCGTAAAGTCAACTACGTGCTTTCAATTGCAAAAAAAAGTACCCTCACAATCGATTGTATAGTGTTGTCAAAAAAACTGAAATGGATTGATATAGCAGAACATATCTGCCGGCCCTGGACCTTTTCCAGGGTACTGTGACAATGGCGCATGGTTGGGGATGCACTGGTGACAATACCAGCTTTTGTGATTTATGAAAGGAAAAGAACACACTGTCGGTACCTTTAGAAAAGCGAGAATACCCGACATTCTTATGAACTGTGCCTACATATCTTTAATATTAGTTCAAAGTAGGTTGTTTGTTTTCCGCTTAGACTCAATTACAGAGTTCCATATAGTACGTCTGTTTAGCAGGTACTTCTTTGATGTTTTGTCAGTGGAGCTGACAAAAGACGACACGCTTGGGTTCGCCTCGGTGTCCGTTGGTCAGATATACCATTGTGGAACTGTCAGGCAGCTTTAAAGGTGTTATGCTTACATCTTTCAGCAAATTTGAACAGCATGGCTGTCGTCTGAGGCGTGCTAATTAATTTGCTATGGGATATGTTGGAAGCGAAGCATGTTGATGTATTGATCGATCATGTTAACATCGAATACATGTATCTCATTGTTTTGGAATGTAGTAGGAAAGATTATCCCTCTTTCATATGTTTGATAAGGTCCAAGAGATCGTACTGATCTCTAGCCTACACTATATATTCTATATAGTAATAGTTCTAGTGACAGCGATTTCATAATGATTACATTTGATCCGCTAGGTACGTAAGTCTATGATCTATTCAGTTACCAACATACATCAAAATGAATGTCGGTAAAAGGGTAATACAGAAAGAAAAGTAATACCGTATTTTAAATTTTGTTTCACACACTGTCAACCAAGTTAGGTTGCTATGGGTCCATTGAATTGGACATATTTATGTTTTCTCTTCTGGCCTCCAAAATGTTGAAATTCGTGTCCAAGCTTTGAAATACACACGGAAGAACAACCATATATCAATAGCCATTATTTTGAAAATTGTTCCAAACCATTCTTCCTTACCTTTCTGGTAAACGTACTCTGTACAGTGCCGTCGAAAGGGTCCTCCATTGTTGATGACCGATCTAAATTTTCACCAAATGTACTGCGTGATATCCACGATCCAGAGGAATGTCTGTGAAATCTACTAATTAAACGTTGTTCTGCAAATGCCGACGTTGCCGTATCCAGACGATGTTTCAGTCATACACAGGTACGAACAAGCTACGGTCCGCTCAGTCAGATTCCAAAGTCTGCATTACTCAGTAACCTGTTAGGTGTGATGTTGAACTCCAGACAAAATGGCGATAAATTACCGCATGTACGTTAACACCTGGTCCGCCCCACAATGGATGGGTCTGCACTTTGTAAATAAGAACTATTTTCTCTACCCTGATAAATGTAAAGCTATTACTCTCTGTTGGGTTATTCCACTATAATTGATAGGGATAACATATACATAGAATATAATTGAGAACTTCAGTAGGCCCCATTTTATTTACATATTGTACACATGATAGATACTGTCTATCTGACGTTTTAATAAATGCTTTCTACAGAGCACTAAGCAAAAATTTGTTGTATCTAGCAACAGCCTTGACCCCTACATGTCGAGTGGACTATGCCCTGACCGACTTTAATAGCCTGGCCTCCATCCGGGACTCTGTATCAAGGGAAACGTGATTTCCTTACGTTTCAACAGGTGGGCAAACAAACATCTCTTTGTGGGGACCTGTGGGGGTGACAAAAGGTAGGATTTCTATAGCGGAAGCCGGCAAGTGCAATAGATCTGGATTACTCTGACAGTCCGTAATGGTAAAACGGTGTACGAGATGCCGCTAGGTGTAACATTACCCCGGGAACGGGATGGCAGGCGGGGAATGGTGGGAAGGGGGGCAGCTGACGACATGACCTTTGTTCCTCCCCCCCCCCCACTTCCTAATAACTTTTCACAACTCCATTATACTGATAATGTTTCTATTATTTGGTCAAAACAATGAGCTTTCATCTGATAAAGCTCCTTGGTCAAGCCAACATTTAGCTATGATGATTTTTTTTTTGCATTTTCATTTGTTGTGACCTGTACTTAACCCAGCGGGTATATGTGTACAATAAAGGTCTTCATTCATTCATTCATACCTTCATTATATACAGGGTGTGCCCTATGAAATAGATTTTGTTAAATCCCTGTATGGCGACCAGACGTGGTACTGCAGCTTAGAGATAGAATCTTCTTTTGCCATCCTCAATTGAAGTAAAGCATGGATGTGATAGGACAACATTGCAACAATCCAAGCTATTACATCATGGACATTTTTCTTTTGCCGTATCACACCCTTTATACGTATCATAATACTCCTTTTATCAAAGAATGGCGTATACAGGACATCCGTAGAATGTATTTTAACAAGTTGTTTTATTTCGAAATACAGCAGACCCTTGCATAGTTGTTGATATCGGTACATGATTGACACTTTGCCTGACAGAAGGATGCGTTTCCCTGCACAGTGTTATATATCTTGACTATATATTTTGAAAATTTTGTACGTTTGTAATTTGCTACAAGTGGCACTGCAGACACGCTAGAACACCATATAGATGTATAGAAAATAAGTCTTCTATATATGTCCCCATCATAAACATTTCTGTTCCCCAATCTCTTATCTTTCACCCTCTCTCAATATGTACACGTATATCTGTGAAAAATGTATATGTATATGTAGATATATGCGTTAGAAATTTTACAGTCTTATCATTAAAATATGTTATAGTCACCATATCTTATTTTGGATATCAAAGATATACAATTGCGCAGTACTTCTTGACATTTGATATGTTGTGTCGGTACGTGTATTTAGTGCTATTGTTGTTAAAGAGGCGATTTGATCGTAAAGCTTTTAAATCACTACTATATATATAATCTCATTTGAAAATATGGTAAACTTGTCTTCTTCAGACGTATTTTTAGTAAACACCACAAATAAAGGAAAACATAATTATAGAAGATTTTATCTTAGTCGTAATGTAATTCAACTGTAATATAACCCACTCATGAATAACCTTAAGGCACTAGTATCACCATCTAATATTCCGTCTAGCAACGAGAAACTATTAGTAAATATATGTTGTACACAAAGTATTGTTTGTTTCCGGATATATGCAAAATATATGTAAACGTAACTCCTTAAATTTCAAACGATTGTGGTCGATATCGAATCCACTGCAGCGTCCCATTGGTCTACAAGCGGGAATCGTCAGCAGTCTGAAATATAAAGAGTATTCTGTAAATTTCATGAAGCTAGAAAATAGTGTTAGCTTGGGTAATCTAAGCACAGCATCTAAGCTATGTCAGTATTATTACATACACACCAACAGTTAGTCTACAGTCTAGTAGTCTAATATCATTAGCATATCATTAGCATGTCTATTGTCTTAGTAGTCTCCTGCAAGGAAGCAACTTCGAACCACCATTAAACATTGCCTTTATATCCCAGAGCATTAGTTTACACTGCACAGCAAAAGTTGTGAAAAGTTTTAAAAAGAATTAACTCTAATTATAGCTTGAGACAGTTGATCAAGGTTGTTAGAAGACAAGAAAGTATTAGTTTTTGAGTGGATTTAGTGGTAGAGAAAGACTGACACCTGAAAGTTTGTTGAGTAACTTGTCGCTGGCCGGTATGGCGACTTTGCCCTAGGTATCTGGAACTGGAGGTAGTAAACGAAGGCGTTTTATTAGTTGAAAAAAAAGGAACCATGCAATGTTAGTTTGGAATTTTCGCTGTTATCATAACGTTAGTACAACTGTGAGCGGTTGTTAAATGCTCATTTAGTCATTGTCGCTGATTGTTATTTGAGTTACATTTTAGTTAACTGGTTTTGCTTCAGTCTGTTCGTCAGTTTGACAGATGTTGAGGTACGTATGATTGTACTCATACTCGTATTCATTGCAGTCATGTTTCTTATGCTGTTGTTATTATGCATTGATGACCCGTGTGTGGCACAATGATTTTGATGGGGGTAGGATGTTTTAGCATGTGTAGTTTTACTTGGCTGACAGTGATCATAACCTCTAGCTTGTTGGCTTTCCTCTCTTAAGTCCTATTTGCAATGCGTTACTGTTCGCGGACAAATAATCTACATAACATTCCTTAGGAATAAGATAGTTAATTGAATTAGGGCTGATATATGAAACTGAAACAAAAAAGTGAAATCTTTTTCCAGCAGCATGTGAAGTAATGGAACGTAAATAGCTCTAATGTGTCAGAAATCGTACAATCAATCATTACTTATCGTATACAGTTGTGACAAAGACGGAAAATACAAAATACCTTATTCACGTATTATCAAGGTTATCATGTTAAAAGTTTAGGGCTGAGTTGGCTTGTCTGCCAGCATTTTATAGTTACGATTCTGTTAGAAAATATAATACCAATTGTTAGAGTAGAGAATAAAAGAACCAGTCGCTGAGATAACACCTATGGCCTTACCTGGTTAACGTGGACATTCCGTTGCAGGTTGTTGATCTTCTGCTGCCCAGTGAAAGTGGTTGTTGTTGGCTGCTGGTACCCCCTGTCGTGAGGTCGGACCAGCGACTGGTACGGGTGCTCCTCCTGGTGTATCGGGTTGTGGTAGACGTGTGCTCCCTCGTCAGGCCTGCTCTGCACCTGAGGAGCGGCCCGCACGTTGTCATAGACCACGTTGTTGTACTGGTATCCAGCTGCCTTACCTTTCCCTGTGGTACACATTCAAAGCAAATAGTAACTTCCAAATGCTCAGAACCGTTGAGTCAACAATATTAGAATAGGTATGATCTGATTACAGGAATCTTTTGAATTTGAAGACGACAAAACCGATACAGTAAAATGCATCTGTTGACCCCCCAAAAGAGCCCAATGTTTTCTATGATGAGCAAGAAATGGACAATTTTTTTATGAGATTGAAAAGCAGTGGCTTGCATTGTCGACAGATGTCAGCAGATTGTCGACAGATGTCATCATAAAGCTGTGCATATCTTGTGTATACTATATTGTGTTTTATGATTTTGCCATGGTCAATGTTGACCGAAGGAGATCATATATTGTGTGCATTCTATAGACTAGCGTGCATGATACTTCGCTGTATCATAAAATATCAAATCCATGTATCCCCCACCAGAAAAGTCGTACACCACAGTAGCGCCTTGACCTGACTCGTAGACTGACGGTCTGTACTTGGCGGCACTGGTGCTTCTCAGACCACGTTCTAACCCGGCTGGGGCGTAGTTCATGGCACGACGGTTGGCGTACAATCTGCAGAAACCATGAGAAGGGTTCATGTTATTGACTTTTCCAACACCAAGTCATGTAACCCAGACATATTCCTTTTACAGTATCGCATACATATAGCATACAATTGAAATCTGAGTTTGGACAATAGAAAATCAAACGTAACATCACGGCGGTCTGTCACTACGGCATTCTTTCCCATTGCTATGCGCGTTCTAAAAGGTATCGGGTTACAAGACGCTATTTTGGCCTGTTTTGGACTACCCGTAAAATATTTGAAAATACACAAATAATATTTAGGGGTAAATTTCGTCAAATTAAAATAAAATTATCGTCTTAACATCCTCTAAATGTTAGCTTTTTATGTTAAATCAACGATTTTTTAAAATTTCGCTCAGAGAGACGATTATTTTCGGGTTTCCGAGCACATGTCATGTCACGTTTTTAGGCAAATATCGTTCAAACCTGGCTACGTATATTACCCCAGATCCCCGATTTTTATATTTTTCGCAGACTAGGAATAAGACAAAAAATCGTGTTTTAGGGATTTTTAAATTTCTGATTTTAAGTCTAGTTTTTGTCGACATTTTGGTGAAAAAATGGCATTTTTTGACATTCTTCTCACTAAATTACCCATAATTCAAAATTGAGGCCATTGTTCAAAAATCCCTAAAACACGATTTTCGGGACAACCGTTACAGTCATTTTGAGTCGTAAATGGGGTATGTTTGACTCTCCATGTTTCCAGGTTTGAACGAGTTTTGGAGACATGTCATATCGCCAGAAAGTGTGCATTGTGTTATTCATACTGGTGTAAAGAATCATTACAGTATTCAAGGTCACTCAAGGATACGACAGTAGCTTCGCTACATGTTACATACCCACCAAAAATAATAGCGGACATGTACTGTCCAGGAAACTGTTTGTATCTATAGAAAAGTGTTGTTTTTTATCTGTTGCAATGCACGGAGGTAGAAAGGCTTGTTTTGCCGCTTTATAGTAAATGACCGCAGGTGACCCCGAAATAGAACGCGGGTTCGATTCGAATTCCCCAGATCGAACACAATCGAACACAGTTCGGTATCTATGACATGTGGGAACTTTTCAGCCCAGATTTTACCACCGTGCATCTTAGTTATTGATAGCTAGCTATCCGATGGTGGCTACTCACGGTGATAACCACTGCCATTCCACATTACTTGAAGGATGGATGGAGAGTGAAGTCAAAAGGAAGTGATTCTCTAAAAGAAAATAACGGCTCTAAGTTGCAAATGTACTGATGTTGACACATTGTCGCACCAAATCCATAGTATGCTTTTGGCACACAATTAGACAGATTAGCCGAAGAGGCTGTGCCGCTCGGTGAGCGTCACTCCACCGTACAGGGAGGGAAGTCATGTACAGTGCTTTTCCCAAGGGGACAACGTCGGGCCACGGTGAGTGTCGATCACACGGTGAGTGTGATTGGTTCCGAGTCCAACGATCTAATTACTAACCGTTGTGCCACCGACGCCACGATTCTCTAAGAGCATGTTGTCCGTAGTCACTACGTACCGTACTAGTGTATCTTCAATGCATTCATTATCGAAAAGGACAGATAGACTCAGACCACATGTAAACGAGTCTTTACGTTATTGGTACATAGAAATAGCTGCATGTCTTACGAGTCATCCGAGAGTGGCTGGCTCTTTCTCTTCCAGCAGTTCTTTGTGGCGGCAATGATGAGGATGAGAAGCAGGAGGAAGGCGGCGACGGCCCCGACTGCCGCGTAAACAACGTTACCTGTACCTGGATAGATCAGGTTTATTACGGTTATTACGGAGATGAATTATCCACACATAGTCATAAAGAGCTAGAGAATGAATGAATCTTTGTATTTCAGGATTACACCCATAGAGTACGGACAATGAACATACTATTTTATTAGACAGTCGACTACATATAAAGCAAACTACATGTATAACATTATACATTAAAATAAAAAAGGAGTAATAAAGTCACTGGTTTACATAAGATGAGTGTCTTAAAAACAGTTGTTAGCCATCTGTTGACGACAAAATGCTAAATCTGCTATCACATCACTACCAATTAACATGAAAGGCCATGTGTATGATATTTATATTACAGTGACAAAGGTTAAAATATCTAGGTATGCGTATGGATATTGTCATGTATTTTGACACGTTTTTTTTTATAAATACAAGGACTGTCTGAACTGAAAATGTCAACCAACTTTAGGCAGGAATGGTCAAAGCTCGAAGTAAAAGAAAAACTTTCAGGCATTATTTTCTTCTTACCTCTACTCTCGCATCTATCACCACTGTAGGTCGTGGTGAAACTGGATGTACACCTGTACAACGGCAAAAATATGTTATATAGAGAGCCCTATTTAGGAAAGTAATTAATGCATATGTCACATTAGCCATGGCATACCAATTCTATATAAAGCATGAAAATAGCTGGACTATTGATAAATACTTATGTATTATTGATTAATACTTATTTCAGTTATTTCAGAAGCTACAATGCAAGTACTGAATATGTATGAAAAACGTACTGGCAGGTGAGTGTTTCAGTGTTAGAGTCCATGCATGTTCCACCGTTCAGGCAGTACTCTGGGTTAGGGCTGCAGAACGCCAGGCACTTTCCACCGTAGCTGACACAGTTGACTTCAACGGCACACTCACAGTCAGTGATCGGCACAGAAGTCGTACCTGAAAAAGTGTGAATGTTTTTTTCTTCATATAAATACACTCCTGGCCGGCGTTAGTTATTATCTCCGGCCGTATAAGGACGTATTGTTTTCGGTGTGTCTATAAGTTCTCTTGTCTGTGTTTCCGCAATTATATGCACTTGTAACGCTAGCATAAACCGCATTTGCATATTTTATGAACTACAATGATGAAACAAGACATATGAGGAACTCTAAGTATTTCACGGAGGTATGATATCTTTTAACTCTTGTTTTTGTTGTCACATGTTATCCAGCAACGTTCTGAGATAGGAGTATTGTTTTGACAATTCAAGCCCAAAAATAATGCTTGCTTTTATGAATTTTCGAGATTTAGCTTTAAAAAATCACATTTTTCTAAAAGAACAGGCATGTACGTGTACATTGTATAGCCATGCTGTAAAAATGAATAGGTAAGAAGAACTAGAATTACCCGGTGGAGCGTAGGAAACTTGAGTAGTGGGCAGATCCCCCAGCTTTCCCCCGTTGTTGTCGATGTACTGCTTGAGAAGTGCCACTGCCTCCACGGGGTCTTGAACCGTTTGGCCTTTCTTGAAGACCGTGTCGAAACTGGCGATGACGCTTCCCACACTTTGAGTTATTTAAGACATGTTTAATATCACTTTAGTCAAATTCAGTAAAATGTGAAAGGTTGAACATGAATGAAACCTACTTTGCTTTTTTCTATTTTGTATGTATTGATGGTGATGATGTAAATATTACGACTAATGAATTACGCATAACAAAAATGTCCTTTTCTCCAGTCACTTCTCTGTGCATCACATTACGTTGAAGAAAGGACGTTTCTCAGTTCCAAGTCTTGCACCAACACTTTATTTCTGAATCAGATAGATGGTATAATTTGATTTGATGATGCTTTTTCAAACTCAGAAGCAAAAAAAAATGATATATTTTCACCTACCGGAAGCCTTTGACTATGACACTTTGGAAGTTCGGGTTGTTCTCGTATGCCTTGCCCACCTTAAAAAAAAACACAAAAAAATATATTCAATGTTATAAGAATATGATAAGTCAACAGGAAACAAAAAAATATCAACATATCAACATGTTTTGTAAGATATACACTTCCATATAAAATAATATATAAACGCAGTTATGTTTACTTATGGACCTAGGAGCAAGCTTAAGTGTTTGTGCATGGACATGACATGTATCGGTCTTGTATGGATAGTCGTTCTGTGGTGCCCAAACGAGTCTTGAATGTACTTGATGTTGACAATGATATCCATACCTCAAGTTTGACTTTGTTTTCCAAGTCTATGAACGCTGGATGCGTTCTATTCTTCAGCTCCTCTGTGAAGTTCCGAACCAGCGTGACCTCCGTTGGAACAACAACTGCAGGTGAAGAAGATTTTAGTTAACACGCTTGCTATTTTTTTTAGCTCTTGTTATACAATATAGGCATTTCAGATTCATTTATCGCATGGCGGATATTTTGCGTATAGTGGATTTCTAGGTACTTTCTGGGATATGGCTCAGTGTGGTCTAATGCTATTTGAAGCTCAAGTTTAGCAACAAGATCATTGGTCAATTCGTTGACATGAAGATAGATGAACACTCTAATAGATGAACACATGTCTGTGCAAATTGCTTTCAAAGATTGGAATCATTCAGAGAAAGAATCTGATATGTTCAATCTACCTGTAGAAGCTGGATCGGGTGTCGTCTGAGCAGGAGCTGTGGTAGGTTGTGAAGAGGGTGTCGACGATGCTGCTGCAGTTTGAGACTCTGTAATGACAAGATGTAATGCATATCAGATGTTTTGTTCTTTTTGCGGAAGTAGAATATATAAACACTGTGGCGAGTATGAAACGTATGTAGACATTATCAGCATGGTTGGCAATGGTCTGTTATTTTGTGTCTTAAGTCCTTGCAATGGAAAAAAAAACTTACGCAGAGTCACTGTCTCATTTAAGATTGTGTGCTGATGTCTAGAAATGGTGAATTGTGATGAGAAAGTGTCGAATACATGATGTTGGGAAGGTTAATATGAAAATGCAGGAAGGCTGTGGTATAGAATAAGAATAAACCAGAACCAAAAACGGTATTCTCTTTAAGACCTGGAGTTGACTGTGGTGTAGATATTGACTGACTGACAGTCGGTTGTTTAGATGTTTGAGCTGTTGTGCTGTCCCGAACCGGAGTAGTGACAGTTTGCCGTGCCGTAGAAGCTTGTGCTGTTGATCCAAACAAATAATATGTTGTTTGTCATTCAGAAAGTATTGGGTTGTTATTCTCAAGTTTGGGTAGTGAACTTTGAATGCGCAAAACGTAGAAGAAAAATAAACATAACATAAGAACAAACTAAACATAAGATAAAAACAACATAAACATAAAATAGAAACAAAATAAACATAAAATAAAAGTAAAATAAAGCAGAAAAACAAAACAAAAAAGTTCGCTCCAAAGACCTGGAGTTGGCTGTGGTGTTGACATTGACTGACTGACAGTAGGTGTTCTAGATGTTTGAGCTGCTGTGCTACTCCGAACTGGAGCAGTGACAGTTTGCTGTGCCCTTGAAGATGCAACTGATTGTGCTGTTGATGCAAAAAATGATAAATTGTGTCAACCAACAAATATTTCAGTATACTGAACTTGGAAACGTAAATTAGAACACGGAGAAACAGGAACAAGATAAAGATATAAGACGTAGTATAAACATCAAATAAAAACAAAATAAACATAAAATAAAAACCAAATAAAGCAGAAAAAAAAGTTCTCTCCAAAGACCTGGAGTTGATTGTGCTGTTGAGATTGACTGACTGACAGTCGGTGTTTTAGATGTTTTGGCTGTTGTGCTGCCCCGAAGTGGAGTAGTGATAGTTTGCTGTGCTGTCGAAGATCCAGCAGGTTGTGCTGTTGATTCAAACAATTGTATCAATCAAAACGGATTGGGTGTTTAAGTTTGGGCGCTGAACTTCGATTACTCAAATTGTAATAAAAACAAGAATGACTACACCTCCCCGCCCTCAAATAGCAAAATGAAGAAGAAAAACAATGTCCCAAAGACCTGGACTTGATTGTCGTTCCGTCGGTTCTGACGGAGTCGTTGCTTGTTTTCTTTCTTACTTAAATGTTATTTACAAGTAAAGGGGAACTTTGTTTAAACACAAAGCTTTTTAAAGTAAGTAGAACTAACTAACATATAAAAGGTATAGTAAAACTAAGAGCAAAGGCACCTTGTGTTGGAGTAGTTTGCTGTGTTTGTTGAGACCCGGTTGGTCTAGATGCTGTTGCTGTAGGCCTAGATGCTGTTGCTGTTGGCCTAGATGCTGTTGCTGTTGGCCTAGATGTTGTTGCTGTTGGCCTAGATGTTGTTGCTGTCGGCCTGGATGCTGTTGCTGTCGGCCTAGATGCTGTTGCTGTCGGCCTAGACGCTGTTGCTGTTGGTGTAGATGCTGTTGCTGTTGGTCTAGATGCTGTTGCTGTTGGTCTAGATGCTGTTGCTGTCGGCCTAGATGTTGTTGCTGTTGGTCTAGACGCCGTTGCTGTTGGCCTAGACGCTGTTGCTGTCGGTCTAGATGCTGTTGGTGTAGATGCTGGTGCAGCTGGTGTAGATGCTGGTGCTTCAAAGTGACAAAGAAGCAAACATACTCATTTCGCATTCCATACACACCCGTACTGAAGGAACTGGCCCCAGATCGCCTAGAATGGCTAATGGCACCGCGAGCGAGACAAAGGAACATCTAACTAGACTTCAACAAGTAAGTACTGAGTACATGCTCTTACACGTACAACACGCCTGATTTACATAAATAAGAAAGTAGTACCTGATGTGGATTGGCTGGATGTGGATGGCGTGGGCGTGGTTGACGGAGCCGGTGTTGTGGCAGGCTCACACGTCACACCGTCACCGATGTATCCTGGGGCACACGTGCAGGTGAAGGAACCCACGATGTTGGTGCAGTTTGCAAGCACATGGCAGTTATGGCCGGCAACACACTCATCTACATCTGTAGAGAACGTATAAGTGACTTACAATTTAATCTTTTGATTAAATCAATTAAATCTTTCACAGTAGCCAAAATACAGCAATCTTTGAGCTCTGTTTAATGAGAAATGGTAATGAACTAAGTGATGTAGATAAAGAGGATTTAATAATGTGTTCAATTTACATATATTGCCATAAAATTATAAAATTATAAAAGAGTGGCATTTTTATATAGTTCAGTGTCATTCATACCTTGACAGGTACCGCTTTCGTCAACGGCAAATCCAGTGCTGCACACGCATTCGTACGACCCAATCCTGTTGACACAGGTCTCGTTGGACCGACACATGTCGCCATCGTCGCATTCGTTGACATCCGCCTCGCACTGGGCACCCTTCCAGCCGGCAGGGCACACACAGCCGACCGTCACGTTACACTCTCCACGGTTGCAACCGCAGATTTCGGCACAGCCCACACCGTATTTCCCTTCTGGGCATACTGTACGTTCGCGGAAGATTACAAAATAATGTAAATCAGTGTAAAGTAATTACAGGTATGAAGCTTTACATATTCAATCATGGAATTGAGAGGGAAAATGAAGAGTGGCAAAGTGACACCTCGTCGAAAATCATTTGTAGCATTTACAGTAGAATACTATGCAATCATTCATTTTGGAGACACCAATGCCAAGTAATTAAAGCAAAAATGAAACAACGTGTAGGTTTTACTTACTTGTACAAGTCCTCAGATCATCCTCAAGCAGGTAACCGATGTCACAAGAGCAGGTATGACCACCGACTGTGTTCTGGCAGTTCTTCTTCTGACTACATCGGTTCAGTTCTTCGTTTCCAGGAGCACATTCGTCGACGTCTATTGAATAGTAAAGATAAAACGAAACGTATTTAGACACGATGTCAGACTCTCTTCACAGACCGTATCATTGGTAAACATCGGTATGATTATTCAGGATAGGATGATTACTTTCAGGACAAGGGGTCATGGAATAGGTAACTGGTATTTCATCAGGAACTCACCATCATTGACATTAAAAAAGTACTGTTAGTGCACAAAGGGAACAGTTCGTCCTGTTTCTTCTTACCTTCACAAGTGGTGTTGTCTGTGGCAAGCTTGTATCCAGAAGGACAGAAGCACACTGCTACGTCATTCTCAGCTCGGCAGTTCTCACAAACAGACACCGCGCAAACATTCCTCGCCGCTTGGTCTGAAAAGAACATGTACATGTAGAAATGTGAGGAATACAAAAATAAAACTTCCCTCGAATATTTTCTTCAGCAAACAGTAATGCAAACGTCTTCCTGACGACAACACTATTGAGTTGAAATGAATTACACAGTAGTTTTAAGCCAGTAAATAATGTGATTACTAACAAACGTTGTTTACCTTGATAACATGTGACATTATTGGTGGCATTCAGAAAGAATCCTTGGTAACAGTCACACTGAAATCCCCCGTCTGTGTTGTTACAGAGCTGCGTACATCCGCTCACACCATCGGCACATTCGTCAATGTCTGTGGAGAAAACAGGCATGTCTTTACTTGCTCTCGTTGCAAAATATATCTAATATATGGAATCACATACACTGTTATCTAAATGACGTCTTATGTGATAGTGGAATGAATATTGCACAATGTTCATAGCTGAAACAAAAATTTGCAGTACGTGGACAAATATCAATGTACAGCATTGCTGAACATCTAATGAATTGTATTGAATGAATAAATGAAGTAATGGATTGTAGCATGAAAAACCACAAACCTGAGCAATTCCTCTTGTTGTCATCGAGTCTGTAGCCAGAGGGACATTCGCATCTGTAGCTCATCATCTCGTTCCTGCACTGAGCCTTTGGTCCGCATTGGTGCGTGCCGTTTGTACATTCGTCTATGTCTGAATAAAAAAGGAATAGTAAGAGTTTGTTAAAATACTAATTGTACATTGTCATGCTGAGTTCTTAAAATATGCTGTTGGTCCATTTCAAGATATTTTAAGACGTTCTTAGAACAAAGGAGTAAAAAAAAAAATTTGCCAGCATATTTTCTTACCACGACATTTGGTGCCGTCGCCCTCCATGCCGTCTGGGCATGCGCTGCAGGTATAGCCAACACCAGGAGCGGGTACGTCCGTGCAGTTCACTCCCATGTAGCAAGGGTCGTCTTCACAACCATCAATGTCAACTTCACAGAACGTACCTGCAGTATCAGTTCACCAACAAGTGGGAATCAGTTTCTACAAAGCCAATATTTGGTAGATTGCGACCTATTAACCTATCTAAACATACATGGCCTGCTGTGTCACTGTTTGTTTGCCTAAAATCTATCATACATGTATGTCATAGAAACTACAAGTTACTCTCAGTTGAGTGTAAATATATCATCGATTCTCAGATAAGAAAAAAAAAACTGTAAGACACTTTGCAGATTTCGTTGCATTGTTTTAAATTTGTCATCAATGAAACAAAAACAATTTTTATTTTAAACGAAAGAATGTCGATAAGGAAATATTTAGACAATACCTTCCAGTCCTTGGCCACACTGGCAGGCTACGACCCGGAGTAAAGAGTCAACATTCTGGTCGTCCGCCATGTTGTCGAAGTCGCATATCCCGTTATTCTCACACTTGCAAAGGTTGACTGTCGGTCTCAGGATGGATGTCCCGCCTTTGCCGTCACTTGCCGTGAAACTAATGTAAATTCCGCAAGAATAAACATCATGAAAGGGAACTATTGCTTAGGAAACTTCACATAGTGATGAACCGGGACCAGTTGAGATACAAACATCTTTAGCTAGTACGTTTGGTATTGTGTTCTCGCCGGAATACGCCACCTACATCGGCTACATAGCGGCGAAATAGAAGCAGCAGAAGAAGCTCTGGGTAATGTGTCTGATAGATATGGAAACGTAAGCATGAATACCTGGTTGTGAATAAGAAAATCCCAATATCCAATGTCCTACCAACCTGATGAAATTATTTTCGGAAATTATATAGGAAATAGCTATCCAGGTGCAACGTAAACGTATTTTAGCTGACAGAGTAAACGTTTGTTTCCTAACTGACCTCATGTTTAAGCTGTTGATTCGAGACGGTGTCCAGATGAACATGGCTGATGCATTATTGAAGACAGCGTTGTCAGGGAGACCCTGTGCGCTGAACCTAACCGTGTCGTTGTTGATGTCTGTGGCAGTCAAGTCGAAGCTGACTTCTTTCCCAACCGTGGCGTTGACGACCGTCGGACCGAAGATGTTAGGAGGGAAGTTTGCTGGAAAGAGTGTTTAGAACCATTTTTATTATGAACAAGATAAAAGGCATATAAAAGAAATACGTAATTTACTAGTCACTGTGTTCATTTTAGACGTTATCAATTACAACCTACTACCTATGGTTCATGGATTGCAATTTGTTAAAATTTGTTTTGTGAAATCGATCAAATCAGTATCAAATAGTATCAATAGTATCAAATTTATTATGAAAAGTACGTTACTAATCGTACACTGTTTTCAGTACATATAAATGTCTATCTCGCAAATAATAAATACGAAAAAAAAATAACAATACCGATAAGCGAAGTGTCTTCCTCGAATCTTGACTCTGTATTGGCGGTTGAAGCTCCTGTCAGAAGATCGCTCGTTGCGGCAGTATCGAACAGACATTCCTTGTTATCTCCGCACAACGCTTCAGCCTGTTGTTTCAGTTCCTCTGTGGCGAACTGTACCTCCAGCAGCGGCACGAAGTCCGGGTCTGAGTTAGCAAAGTCACTCCAGCTCTGGCTTCCGTAGTAAAAGATGGAGTCTGCTTCGCTAACGTTCCCTGTAGATGTAGAAAGGGTGGTCAAGAAATGCAGAAATTCTAAATTTCTAAACGTCCTCCTAGTTTGTACCTACACAGATTTTGATAATACGTACGAGTTTTAACTACGAGTACACCCATGGATTTGACATAACGTCACATTTTTTGTAAAAACGCAATGAAATGATGGCTATTTCTTTCTATTAAAATAAGTTACAGAAATGTTTGATATGGATGATACTTTGAACTTACAGAGTTGACCAAAGGAATAGTAGATGTCGCTGTCGGAGGCGTTGATTGAAATGGAGGTTCCATCTGGTCGAGTGAAGTCATCAGTGACGTCATCATTCCATAGTCCCAGAAGACCCTTGGTGTTTCCCTTGAACTTGGGAGGAGCCATCACGGTGATGGCCATTATTCCGACGTCTACAGCAACCTCGATGGCGATTCCTAGAAAATACGAGGTTATATCTCATTTTTTTTAATGAAAACACTCACATAAACTTCACATACATACAAACACTACTATTGCCCTTAAACACATAAGTTTATCCATTTTGTACCATAATCAATGGTCCTATACCTGAGGAGAACGTGGCAATGGCGGATCCGTTTGTTCCTTTGGACACCGTGACGTCGTCAAAGTCTTGGCCGGCGTCGCCTGCCGCGAGATCCGCAAAACCGCTGAACATCTGACGGTCCACGTAAACGTCGACTCCTGAAAGTATTGGATCAACAATATGTTATGCTCAGTAGAAATGACATTACTTATAATAGTCTCTCTTTTAATGCTGAAATAATTACATGTTAAAGACAGCTGTATATTTTGTAAATTACAACACAATTCAGATGGTTTGAGCCTACGATGTTGGTTAAATTAAAAGTTGCAATTTTTGGTCAGATCGGTCGGGTGGTGTAGACTTCTATTTCTAAAATTATTGTTAACTGTTCTCATTATAGCAAAAATCAGCTAGTCATGTTAAATCGTATTATTAATCATAGGCTCATTTTTTACATCAACGGCGCTGAGGAGCACTGAAGTTTTCAATGTGGGGATTGTTTATAATTAAGGACGTAAGTAAAGAGACGGAAAGGTGGAAAGGTAAAACAATACCTACATTCAATTTGTCTATTCTGTAGCTTTCAACAGTAAAGGCTTGAAAGGCAAAAAAATCACCTGATGTATCGTCCTTAAGATTTATTTGAACGGTTGACGAGTTGCCTTGCTTGGCTACAAACGCGCTGAAGATAGTAGCCCTTGTTTCCGTGCCATTCACATCGACGGCTTTCCTGGTTCGCCCCTGTACAACCAGCATGGCGTCTGGGACATCGAGCACCAGATACTCGCCCAGCCCGTTGAACGTGTAGCTCTTGCCGTCCAGGGTGGTCAGGTGAGGGTCTCCTAGTGCAATAGCTTCGGGAGAGAAGACAGGCAATTCCCCATATTTCAAACATAAAAATCAAGTCAATGTCACAAACTCAAAGGGTGTGTCAAGCTTCATCTACAATTGTCTATCTTCCGACTGGATATGTCGCATTCAAAAACAAAACAGAATTACCTGCCATGTACTGGAAATACTAATATTAGAATTAATCACTAGCTAGCGCTTATCCTTATTTTTTCTTAACATTTGTTTGAAAAGCAAGTCTTCAAAATATTTATCCTCTTCTATCAAAAATAATTAAAACATAACATCTGAAATTGGTTTGCAAACATTTATTGTCCAGAATGTATGGAAGTATAGAAAATATGACAAACCCCATCTCGGTGGGTCGTATCTTTCGCAGGTGTCTGACGGGCGGTATCGGTAGAACAGTTCACAGTTCCGGGACAGCAGGCAGCAGTGTGTCCGGGGGAGGAGGTCCTGCGACTGGTACTGCTCGGCGTCTACTCTAGGGTCGTACAGAATGACGGAACCTCCTCCGGGGAAGCCGAGCAGAAGAGCGCCCGAACCTTCAGGATCATCCTCAACGTCGCTGTAACAACATCTCTGCAAGAAGAAACGTTTAATTAGTTAACACTTGTACTTAGGGAACATAACTTATAGATGGGGGCTTAAGATCTAGTTTTTATGTACTGTTGTTCGTAAATGTATTTTTTTTAACTCCAAGAAGACTTGCTACTTATAATTACTTGATCATACAACACAGTAATTTATTGTATGATAGATAATGGAGTCAATAGAATATCCTATGTATCCATAACGTCCTCGACGTAGGATGATGGAATTTGCATCAACTACAATGCAGCTGTAACACATGATGGTAGCTAGCTTAACGTTACCTGCTGTAAGCTTGTAACGTACAAGAATTTCAACACCAATTAGCTCACTTTTTCAATGTTGAGGGGGATACAATTTGCACTTCACGTCACATACCTGGCCTATTCCTAGCGGGGATGTCCAGCGAAGTTCTGCGCACATGTCGTCCCAGTTTATACGGAACCGTCTGTCCCGTACGGCCTGTGTCCAGGAACACGGGCAGGGTTGGCTGTCTGAGGTGAAGTTCACTAACAGGGCCTCATCCTGCAGATCGGCCCACCCGAGGCACAACTGGTCGTAGTTCACATCTCCTTGTGCTGGGTCGTCCAGACGGAAGAACCACTTGCCGCGGATACCTTCAAGTCAGACATAGAATGAGGCATGGAATGCTTACAAATATATCCGATATTTGTGATATCAAGTGAATAGGTATTTTTGTATAATTGTTGTGATGATTATCATTATTGATCGATATCTGGATATCGGCATACTGATTGGAAAGACAAACTTTAGTAAGAGATACACAGTCAATATAAGCAAAAAGAGTACGTAATAGCACAAACTTCTACGTGTATTTCAGAAAATCTAATAGAATAGTGCAATACCTTTACCACAATAGCAATAGTGTAAACAGTATTTTAACATTCATGAGGTGTGGTATCTATATCTATGATGATTAGATATTGACGCAATAGAGGCTTGGCTATGGCTCTGTGTTACGGTATAAAATGAGAAAATGTACCGGTGTTTCCAACGAACTCATTGATGTTGAAGATCTCGGGAAGGCCTGAGTACTTGGAGTCAAAGAAGTTGATACTGTCAGCTGCCGTATAGCCCAGGCGAGCCTCCCGCCATGTCTGCTCCCAGTTCATGGCGCCGTAGTTGAAGAGGGCGAAGGACTTCACTCCATCGGTGGCGAGGACGAGCTGATGTGTTACAGTCTGCAGACGAAAACAACCAAGATGTTATTGACTAGATGTACATTTCTTTATTCCAACATGTAATGAGAGGACATGGTGACGGCACACTCAAGTTTTTTTTCAACTTATCTTTGTGCCACCATCAACACAGAGAACAATACAATGCTCATTTTCACCTGAGTGAAGTGAGGAAAGTTGTGTTAAGACGAGCACTCTACCGTCACGCCACATGTCATGTACATCTGCTGTACATTGTATATGGCTCGTACAAGTGCAGCGTTATTACGGGGAATGGGATGCATATGTTCTACGACTCTAAACGATTGGCTGAAGCAAAATATACTATGAGAATGGCTTCAAAGAACGCTTGATCTTTTATTTGATTGCGTGCACGTTTCTAGTTGGAACTCTTACCTGGTCAGGGTTGCTTCCGCTCGGATATGCCGTCATGTTCGACCAGGTTATAACAGCAATCCAAGACGGGTCAAAGTCGTCACTTAGATCGGCGTACGCTGTGACGTCACTGATTACTCGTGTCACCACGTTCTGTGCGAGTGCGGCGACGTCAGCATTCACGCCTCTTACACCGCTGTTAGCAGGTAGGCGCACGACCTTGCCCCTGTACTCTTGGTAGAACACATTGGATTGGCCGTCTCTCCTCCTCAAATCGTGGTCTGCCCAGAACGGAGCAATCACAGGCCTGGTGTTTCCGGATCCGGTACGGAACGGTACAGGTATGTAGCTGCCGTAGCGCCTTCCAAAGCTGATCAGCCCATTCACACCGATCTGAAGCGTTAAGTTACATATTTTGAACACTAAATAAAAAGGTACCAATTAATAAATATAACGTTAAGTTTTTCACATTTATTTCTTATGATGAATCGCAGATGGATATCCTGAGCCATGTACTATGTGGTAGACGACGACAGCCGTTTTGTTTTAGATGCGTATGAATACGTACTACAAATGAATACTTTCACTCCTAGCAATGTTACAAAAAATGTAAACACTGCCACTACATGTAGATTAGTCAAAAGCTAATTACAACGGATTACAAGGATCAATTTGTTGATTCAAGTGTTGAGAGTAACAGCTTTGCTACTCTACACTTAGCTATTATTTGAACCCCATGTATATGTACGCACAAGTACATGTAAAATCGGCATATTAACTTACATAGAACCTGGAATGCCTGGTGTAGAAGAAGGGGAAGCCGGCTGGAATGTTGATTCTGTCAGAAGTCCCATCGTCCAAGTCGCTGAACTCCACTACTGTGTCCCCTTGTCCCGGGCCGAACGGATACAACTCCACACCTAGAAAAGACATATACCTTCACGTTATGCTATATATATGCTATTGTTTCTTTATTTTCTCCTGTATAAGTATCGATGTTATGTCAAATGTATTAGTCTAATGCCCAGTGCATATCTTTATACGTTGACAAGAATATCAAAATCTATTCACGAACAACTGTTCGGACTCCTCCCACCCATTACATGCTCTTACACCAATAAAGATGTAGAATGTGCTAAAATGCAATAGGTCATCGCTAGCTATAAATAACTATGTCAGTACGTAAAATCGTTTGGGAACACGTGCCAACACATTTAGATATTGTTAATATAAAATCAATCTATAACATTTTTAGTAATCATATCAAATGCAGCATTTTTTTTCTTCTTTTGTATTTGGTCATACTAGCTAGTGTGTTACGCAGAAGGGCAGTTATACCGGCTGTACGGATACAGATAGAGGTACTATTTGGTTCCCCACCACAACGTGTTCTTGTACCCTGTCACCGAATTCATAAAATATCTTTTATAAAATTAATGATCTTACTCATAGCGGCGACGCAGTCTGTACGGTTTTGTCCAGGCGGGGTCTGGGTACCGGGGACCTCAGTCCCGTCAGCGGTGACGCACCAACAGTACCCTGTACTGGGATGGCACTGCAGGTTCTCGTAACTGCCATCGTCTCGGCACTGCGGTAAAAAGACCCCGACAATAGGAGAACCATCCTGCTTACTCAGGACACTCTGGATACTTTCGTGGCATCGTCCAGCAATACCTGATATCATGGAGGAAAATATGAACAAGTAAGCCTAATATATATACAGAAAAGAACTAGCAAATACATGCCGAATAGATATAATTTCACCGATATTTTCTCACTTGGTGTAACCAATCGTTTGGCGTAATATGATCAGCTGCCGCCGCGCCTCGTACCTGCAAAGCTAGCGTGTTACGCGGAGAGGCGGTTATACCGGTATACCGGCTATACAGATAGTTAAACAAGCTAAAACGTACGTGATTGAAGAGACTCCTTTTCAGTCGAAGTTTCGCGCGCATCGCCTGTCTCATATCTTTGCAAAAGGAGTCTCTTTATTTATGGACTTTATAACCTGATGAAATTATTCACGGAAAACTTACGTATTTCACAGTTGTATCCGGTGAAGCCGTATTGACAAGTGCAGCGATAGGCTGCCATCCCAAACGTTCCATCTACCTCCTCACATACTCCGTTGTCTCCGCACGGGTTTTCGTCGCACGGTCTAGTTACATCAACTGTAGTGGTCGAATACAGAACAAAACCACAATATTCTTTAAAAAGGATAATCGGGTTTTTGCTTCTCTTTAGTTGTCATGTACCACTCTTAACTTGGTACCTTTGCCAGAAGCCTTTTTTATGTACATATTTATGTGTGTATGTATATGTGTATGTGGTTTAGCACGATAATTGAAGAAGCTTTGTATGGATTGTCATAAAACGTAGTACCTGCAGATGCCTAGGCCTTGATAAGATTTAGGGCTCCCTTGCGGCTTTTTTAATTGTATATTGGGATAAATCAAAATTTTGTTCAAGTTGTGATGATGAAATAGCAAGGCTGTCATATACAAGTACTTGATATTGGTTGATAGACCGTGCTGGGAAATGTTACTTGTGCTACTTGTACATACCAGGAGGTACACCGACCACCTGGCTCACAGTAAGGCTGCCAAGACGTCCCCTTTTCCCGCTGACATACTGCTGGAGGGTTGCTATCGCGGCCTCATCTGATTCTGGGGCCTGGCCAGTGTTCTCGAACCCCATGCCAACAGTGGCAATCACACTTCCTGGCCTAAAAGAAACGAAAAAATGCAACATTTAGAATTGATACAAATGTAACGTTAAATACATATGCAGATTCATTTAAATCATGAGACCAAAGAACGGATAAATAGATTTAAAGTGGATGAAAGGAAAATTATTCGTATATTGTATTTTATAAAGCTCTATCACAAAGTGTATATTTACCTAAGGTTGGCCACAGTTACGGTTACAGGGGTCTCAAAGGCTTTAGGTATCTGTAAACAAGGAATGAAAATGTGAAGGTAAGTACTTGAGACAACAGTGATTTATTTGTATTCTCTGAACAGCAATATAAATAGTATTCTCACAACACATTTCAGGCAATACTAACAGCAACAGAAGAGTACATAATTATGTACTAGACATAAGTATCACCTCTCTTTGCAATGTCGCTGTCAGCACTCTGTAACGTGGAGTGCTCGAGTCGTAAAGGTCATCAGTGAAATCTTCATCAGGCAACGTCAAGGCGGCGTAGACCACGACTGAAATCATTAAATAGAGTTAAGGAATAAATCTGATTATCGTTAGTAGAGACTGTTGAAACCGTTATTTTAAAACATGTACACTATCTTGTCACCGTCACTAGTATGTGACGTTATGTGCAAGATAGAAGCAATTATATTATGATTAGCTCTGGCATTGTCGATTTTGTTCCACAATTGGCATGTAGCTGGAAGGGGTGTAAATTGATCAGAATATGGGGAAGGCATCTTGCACAAGGCTATACAGACGACACTATGTAGTACTACGTATTATTGCATTCAGCAGAGAAAACGTTAAAAGATGTAAACCATTAATAAATACATGTACATGAACGCATGAATGTGAGGGAGTTACCTACCTGGATCAGGTGAAATGCACCTGCCTCGAGGAGCAAAATCGTTACATTCGAATGGCCACGACTCTCCAATGTCCAGGAGTAACTGTTCACAGCTGTCCTTTACTTCATTGCAGAAGTCTCGGCAGGGTGGTATCTGCACATAGCAGAAAACGACACACATTTTAGCAGTACATACACCTAAGGCCATGTTGATTTGATTATATGGATGACATCCGCGCGCGCATGAATTTTCGGCCGTTTCCAAAAAAAAAAGTTTTCAACCATACTGTAAATCGTACAAAACAGTTGCAAAATGAGCAAAAATATACCATAAGTTACAAAAAAAATAATAAAAACTATACCAATGTCGTAGAATGCCAAAATCAAACGAAAAAAGACGAAATTGTAAAGAAATGAACTTGAAGACTAGATTATAGGCCAAACCATACTCTGTGCCACTTGCTCAACCCTCATGACCACGTAGATTTCATAATGAAAAGAACTTTTTTTTTTTGCAAAACTTTTTTTGATACGATTACCTTAAGTTATATCAGGAGCGAAGTTTTATGGAATTGTAAAAGATCAATGAGTAATGTTGAAATTATAGGAATCAATTAAATGTCAGTATGAAGATTTACCTGCATTGAGTCGACACAGTTTGGCACCAGTGCAGAGCAGACGGCGAATTCTACATCAGGATGACAGCCGCTGTTCATCAGAGCGGTGATTACGCTGACACTTTCCGGGGTGGTGAGGAAAGACTGCTGGGAAACATGGCCCAGCAGGTTGGGGAATGTTGTGGTGTTGTATGGTACAACATTTCTGCACATGCCAATTTCAATCGGCTCACATTGGGCTGGAGACAAAGAATGTACACAAAGTCAACACAGCAGCATATAAGAAAGTTTTCATGTTTTTGAGTTTCATATGACACCAGCATCTTATAGAATACTCAACAAAGGCTTAATAGATCGTAAATGACTGAACGTTTTCTCAGAATACAATAGATACGTTTTTGATTACATGTACTTCTCGGCCTAACCTTCCTTGATTATTGAGGCGAGTTAGACAATCTATCTTTTCTACAATAACGTATAAAGAGCATCGCCACACAAAACTCATTGGAAATAAATGCAGAATTCCAGTTTGATCAAGTTACCTGGGGCTGGTGTAGAGCACTCTCCCTGGAACTCAAACGGAAATGCTTCACATTCAAAAGGCCACTCCTGACCGGCCATCCCTAGCACCGGTTGGCAGGACGCTCTGATCTCGTTGCAGAATCCTCTACAGGGTGGTAGCTAAAATAGAAACAACAAATTCTATAAATTGTGATTTTATATAATAGCTGAAGTTTTCTCTGAAACCTGGAAAATATTGTAATATCTTATGAGCTTGAAGAAGTAATTATGGCCATCAGCTAACAAAAAATTGTCAACACAAAAAAGCGCACCTGTCTTGAGTCCACACATCTTGGCACCAGTGCAGAGCACACGGCAAACCCAATGTTAGGATGGCAGTTGCTGTTCATCAACTGGTTGATGACACTGACACTGTTCGGATCATCTAAAAAGGCCTGCTGAGAACTGTGCCCCAGTAGATTGGGGAATAGTGTCTCGGTGTACGGTACCACGCCTCGGCATACGTCGATCATGATAGGCTCACACTCGACTAAAAAGAAATTGAAGATAAGAACAGATGCTACTGGTCAGACGATGAGTTCTAATTGAAATAGCTTCACTTGCAGAAACAGTGGTGTAATTGAGCAAAGGTATAATGATCAGCTTTAGCATGACTTAGCTTTAGTACCTTAAACTAGTGCTAAATACGTAATCGTGTTTATTGCATTTAAACATTCCAAAAAATTACCTTCTTTGGAACATGGACCGTCAGACAGGGTTATATTGTCAATACTAAAACTTCCATCGCCATCTGCAAATGCCTGGATTGACACCTGAAGAGAACGAATACCCTTGTATTAGAATCAAATTAAACTTTACGATAATCAATATATGATAAGCATAGAAGGCTACATGGTCCTTTAAAAGTAATGCTTTAAAAGGTTTATAAGAAATTACCTGGACCGAATCCAGGCCCGTCTTGATACCGATGCTCGCAGTGGTCCATTGGTTGCTCACAGACCGAGAGGTTGTCGTATTCCAGGCGTTCCAGGACACGCCGTTCGGCCCCATTAATTTCAGAAGGACCCTGGTGTCACTTCCCGTCAGCATATAATAGAACCTCAGGCATTTGTCATCTGTATAGATCCTTGGGCTGACGAGCAGTTGCGACGACGGACCACTAGATGTTATATGTTTTCCTGAAGGGACATGGCCAGATAACACACATTGTCCAACTTTATTCATTTACATGTTGTACATAGCCGACGTGAGCATTTTGAGGAAAAAGATTTCATAGAAATAAAATACTTCACAATCTTAATTTATCTATGGCGAGACCAATCGAGACAGTGTAGAATGGTACAATGCATTTATTATAATATTCAATAATAGGCAAGGTTCACCTGGTCTTGAAGAGCTCATCACTTGCGTCCAAGGCTCACTACCTTGCACAACTTGATCCCAGTTGCAGAAGTCGTCGTCGAAAGTGCAATTGAGTCCTAAAGAATATATTTGTTAGTGTACAATCCAATGTTGTTGATATACATTAAATCAAATGATGTAGCTCATGCATGCTGAGTCTTTTACTGTGCATGTCTTATTATGATGAAATTGTGTGCATGTATAAGGTAAGGTAAGAATTAAATGGTCAACGCGTAGGCGGTGACATTACTTTTAGCAGAAGTTGAATAGCCTATAAGTAGTAGCCTAATCAGTAGTAGATAAGTAGTTGTTTACCTCTAAAGAGTATGCAAGTATCATTGTGAACAGAGTCAGGGAACGTTGCGTAGCACCATTCTTTGGTCAGTGGAACTTGCAAAGCGTCGACTTCGTCTGAACACTCTTGTCGCACTTCCTCGCACACGGCGCGACATACTGGTTTGCCACGGACGTCATTTTCCTGACATTCTGGAACTACCTACAGGGAAAGAGTATTTAAAGAGAGTGTGTAAGCTTCCAACTGTAAAACACATGTTCAATCTCTAAACCCAAAATGAAACAAGAAGCCATAGGCGACAATTCTCCGTGAAGTATTATATATTGCAACAAAAAGAAGTAGCCATTGGCGACAATTCTCTGTGAAGTGTGATAAATCGAACAAAGAAAAATTGTTTAAACGCGCGTCGGCTCAGTCATCTTAAGACGCAACAACCAATCAGAGATGCGAAATGCCGACACGTGACGCGGGATTCGCATACAGTCTAAACAACGGGGAAGGGCGCGCGATGCCCGAAATATTTTTGCGTCAATATTCAGCGCCGTGTTTCAAGAGATTAATACCGGGAAACAAATTCTTTTCTTGTTTTGAACGCATAAACATGCATTTACGCTAATCTAGTATGATTCAGGGTTACTTTTTTTTTTTACCTGCCATGGCCAGATTATCTAAAGATGTGTGTATTGTGTGTACAATCTACAGAAAGAGAAATGTACATCAGGTCCGATCATCCGATTTTCACGTTTCGGTTTTGGACTCGGTTCATGAACGTATTTTGGTTTGGCTCCTGGAATGTGCGAAAAAAATGACTCCCGGGACTGTCTACAGGGAACACTCGCACATTCGCGGTGTATCAGGACAGCGCGACTGGTCGGCATTAGCGCAGTCCCTGCAATTAGTAACAGTTGCACATCAATCCGGCCGAAAGCATGATTGTGTAACACAGGCTACTTCTTCATATACCGGCTCATACTACACGACGCCTTTACAACTAGCAAATCATAAAATTACCCGATCTACTAGTACTGTATGTGCGGTTTACCAGCCCCAGACCACATCCGACTACGAGGCAGAACACATTGATGGGTTGCTCAAAAATATTGTCCATGTTTACAAAGAGCTGCTCCACTAACACTATGGAGCGGCCCAACCCAAAAACATTGGCCATGTGTCGTTGCTAGGACGACCGGCCAGTTGCTACGTGACTAAATACACGCCGCCACTAGGTCGCCACACCCGACCAGTTTGAAATCGATAGGATTACGTCATCGGTATTAACATTTCGTAATGTTGACCTCTGACCACCCCACATTTCCGTCCCCATCAGCCCCGCCGCGACTTACTGTACTGCCGGTGACATAAACGGACGACAACATTTCAACGACATGGGGATGTTTCGAAAATAACCATTTACTCCAATATCAAAACAGCTACGGTAAAAATAAAAAGACGTGCATCATCCCGGACATAATGCCACACCACATGCGAAATTACACAAAAATGCGACGTACGGAAGAATGCGTTTTGGCTGCGAACATCTTCCAAAAAACTTGGCATCTCTTGACCATGGGACAAAAACATCTGGAACCACTTATACAAAACCCACCCCGTATCTGCATGAAGTTCCCACCCCCCCCCACTGCTATTCCAAACAACGCGTTTTTCTGGACCATTCCAATTCGCCTCGTAATTGTAGGGGTGCGTCTGCAATATTACATTGACCGCGAAAGCAGCAACGGCAAAAATACACATTCGTGCATCAACACGGGCATGCCCGCAGACGGCGTATAAAATTGCGTGCCGATTACACAAAGAGAACCCAGTGTTTTGACTGCGAACACGAAAAATCAGCCGATCACAACACTCCGTCCGGAGGTCCTGACCTCCTTCACGGAGTAAATATGTATGTACGTTTTTATACCACGTATGTGTAAAAATGGTATGGCTTCATAATATTAGAACTTGAATGATGTAAACTTTGATCCTTTTGATATACTTTCCTGACCCTTACATCCTCCCTCAATACCTCAATGAAAAGCGGCCTGCAGGACGATTTGTGCTTTTCAGGAGTAAATAATGGCTCTAACAAACAAATATGCACATTAAACAATTGATGAATATAATTAAAAAGTCACGGGCGCTTGACCGAACTTTACGAAGGACTAAACAGTAATTTAAGCATTGATAGTATTGACATCATACCAAGTGGCAGTAGAATAAGTTGCTATCAGGATGGCAGTTGGTGCTCGCAAAGCTGACAGCTATCTGGTGAATGTCTGATTGTTCGATCACTGACACGTTCTGCTGGCCGTAGTAGTTGGGGAAGAACGCCCTGGTGTAGTTGACTACATCCTGGCAGTACTCGAAGTCCATGGGCATACACTCGTCTAGAAAGTAACATCCATTACAAATACACATGAATAGGCTATGCGAATTTGAAACCATTCAATACCATACAATTTGTACGGTGATAATCTACAACAACCATTAAAATCTATTTTGAAACTTGACAAAGTAGAATACTACGTTGAAGAACTACCATCATTATAAACAATAGCGGGTTTACATATTACTTTCAAAGCATTTATCTTTCTTTTCTTTTTTTCAGTGCACGTTATGTGTCTCTAAAACATTAAGTACAAAGATATGCAGCAAAATACGGTTTGATTTAAAGATAGTTATTTGACACAGAACGATAACATTACCAAAATAAAAGTTTGGAGTGTTTGATTAAACAGATACAGAATATTTGCTAAGGGTAAAGACTAAGGAACATTCAAGTTATGTTGTCATGATTACTTACATCTTCCACAGACCACTTCACTTTCGTCATCGTTAAAAGGACAGTCTGGCATTCCGTCGCAAAACTGCCATGGACCAACACACTGTCCTGAACCATAGCATTCATAGTGTCCCTCTGGGCAACCTTCTAGATATGAAACATATAAAGGTGTCATGTGTTAAATAGTATAATAGTATAAGGTATGTCAAGATTATTTATGCATTTAAAAGAATAAAATTTTTAAGTAAATGTAATCTCACCTCCTTTTGGTACAGAACAGTAGGGCTCATCATCCGGTAAACTTTGGCAGCCATTGGAGTCCCATGTAAGGCCGGCGGCATTCGCTCTTGCTGCGCAAGCCTCACTGACACTCTCACAGAAAGAGCGACATGGGAGTCTACCAAAGGAAAACGGGAACAGGATTACTAATCTATATAATAACTACTGTATAGCTGGATTAAACATTTTAATGTACTGACAAGAAGCATAATGTTTTAGGGTAACATATTGGTTTGGAAAAGAGTTAGATAGTAATTTGCCATTGACATGAGAAAGCCTTCAAACGCTTTAAAGAAAACCAACATTACATGTAACTAAGGACAAATATCCAAATTCAAATTACCTCATTCCAAACGGTGTACATTCAGGGAAGATGAAGGAGCAGAGGTAGAACTGCAGATCACGATGGCAGTCAGCGATTTGGTCAAACGCCTGGAAGGTGTGAGGGCCGAGGGAAAGGGCGAGATCTCTGTCCCAGCCGAGCGCATTCGGATAGGTGGTGAAATTGTAAGGCATGTCCAGGCAACGTTCGAACTTCATTGGCTCGCATCCAAAAGAAACTGAAAAACAATTGTATTAGGACGTAACGAACACGCCGTCACATACTCTATTATGTGTAAAACAATGACTACCCTTTGGATAAGTTATAGTATTACAATATATGGAGATATAAAAGTAGTTGAAAGCCGTAAAGCTCAATTCAGCGTAAGCTAGTTTTTACCTTCTTCTGCTTCACATGATCCGTCGGAGAGAGTAACATCGTCCACTCCTACCTCTCCGCCCTCGGCGACATACGCGTCCAGAGACACCTGTAACGAAATAACAAGTTAAACTTTACTTCTTGTCACAGGTATAAATTCCAAAGTGTGCAAAAGTAATAAATTCATCTAACAGAATTTTTTAAATTTCATTCAGGCCTAATCCCCGCACAGTTTCTTTATCTTTGATTTGGAAATGAAATATTAGAATTACCTTAAACCAGGGCCACCCTTTGTTGATGTTCAGATTGATGGATGACCATTCCTCCTCTTCCTCCTCATCCTCGTCGTCGTCCTCCTCCTCCTCTTCCTGCCCTTCCCGTACATAAGTAGATGACTGCCGCCAAGTGCTGAAGCTATTGCCGTCCGGTCCCGTCACGTACACTGTTAACCTGCTGCCGTCACCTCTCACGAGATACCTCATCCTCAGGCATTTGTTGTCCGTGTACATCGTTGGACTTGTTAGTTTTGATGAGGCTCCATTCAGTGATGCGTATTTGCCTATTTAAATACAATGATCAGATTTAAAAGATTATAATTAGAAACGCTCAGTGAATCACATATCCATTCAATTTTCTATATGTGCCGTATTTTTAATGAGTGCTTAACAAGTCTTTTATTTAACCCATGGAGGTAGAAAAAGAGACATGATTTAAATATCCTATTCACCAACGAAAGGCTAATCAACGTTACACAACAAGAAATGGTTTACCCTTCAGAAAATTGAAAACCAAACCATTAGGCATTGTCATATATTTATTTGATCATCAGTTCTGTAAAATAAAAATAAACAAAATAAATATTGATTTAACACTCACCAGAGTTAGATTCCGATGCTGGTTGAAGCATTACAGCCTGGCTGCTGTTGCCAGCCATCCATTCACACGTATCATCGTCAAATGTGCAGTTGAATTCTACAAAAGAAAATGCAAAAGCCTCACATTAAATAATTTACTGTTGATTTCATTCTTTATCAATCTTTATCAATCTAAACACCTGATACATTAATTTCATAGTGTATGATACGATCAGAATACACAACGTTTCAGGCAACCCACTTGAGAGAGTCTACAACGGATACCTTTTGCTAGTTGGCATGTATCATTCTGAACAGAGTCTGGGAAGATCATGTCACAGGTGCTCTTCTCAAACTGGAACCCAATCTCCTTTATCTCCTCTGCACACGTCTGTCTGATCTCCTCACACAGGGAGCGACACAGGGGCTGGCCTCGTACACCGTCCATAACACACTCAGGAACCGCCTGTAATAGGGTAGTTGATGAAGTTTCATACAAGCTTTTACTAGCTGTTATTTGTCAATATAATACAACGGGCAAAACTAACAATCAACCTTCAGAACACAGTCATGGCACCTGCAATATAAAATTATGTAACATTGGCTGTAGTTAACAGAATAAGATTACCATATGACAGTAGACGTATTTGACGTATTCATGGCAAGACGTATCAGCCAGGAGAGACACATTTCTGTGTATGTCGGACTCTTCAATCATCATTGTGTTCTCTTGTCCAAAGTAGTTGGGAAGAATCGTTCTGTCGTAGGGAACCTCGCCTTGGCAGTACTCGAGTTCAATGGGCATGCAGGTGTCTGGAATAGAAATAATTCACTTAGTAAGATGAAAAATTGCATGATTTCTTTCGTGATACATAAGTCTGTAGGTCTTCTACTTCTTTGTTTGTATGCTATATTGATCCACTTAAACCCACTTATGGTTCGGTTTCACACTTTCAAGGCCTATAGGAAATTATGCAGTAGTTGTACGTTTACTTTCATGGCTTAAAATTACTTACAGTTGCTGCAGGCAAATTCGTCGTCATTGTAGGGACAGAAGCCGTTTCCATCACAGAACTCCCAAGCACCCACACAGCTTCCAGGAGATCCGTAACATTCGTACGCACCATCGCATGTCGCTGCATTTAGAAGATATCATCACAGTTTAAGAATTTGCCAAATGGTCCTGTTCCTGTCCTTTTACAACGTCCTGCTTTAGAAAAGGTTAGGATAACGTCATGTATACAGGAGAGTATTGTACAAAAGTAGTTAATGTTAATGGTTTCTCGTGCTCAATTAACAAACAAAAACCAAAAAAAAAAAAAACACGCTGGCCACACCTTTAGGAGCGATGCACCCTTCTAGGTAGCTGCTTTCTGGCAGGGTGACACAGCCGGCGGTGTCCCATGGAATACCAATAGCAAGGGCGCGTAGTGCACATGCGTTATTGATCTCATCGCAGAGAGAACGACATGGGAATCTGTTTGAGAAGAGAAGAAGTCATACTGTATCCCGTTTATTACACGCACTTACATGTATATTACATATATACCAGTATATTATCTCCAGCAACTTGTCTTAATTAAAAAAAGTCCAGCTATTAAATAATGCTAACATAATTCTAACATGGCATACTTCAACTTCAACTTGCAATCGTTAGACTTAGTTACTTCAAGTACTGATTTTTTGCCACAGATATACTAACACGTTATTTACTGCCCGTGTCATTCTGAAAGTGTGACTTACTTGATTCCTGTCGACGTGCACGACGGGAAGTACAGTGAGCACAAAAAGAAGTCCAAGTCCTTGTGGCAATCAGAAATCTGGTCAAGGGCTGCAAATATCGCTGTTGCGTTTCCGATGGCGTCTGTTGGTCCCTGCCACCCTAACCAGTTCGGGAAGGACGTGTCGGCGTATGGCATGTTTTGACATCGGCCGAAAGGTATTGGGTCGCAATCTGGCACTGAGGAAAAAGCGTTTTGTTATTATGTAATCCATAGTAAAAATAATCAATGAAGAAAACTAAAAGAAGCTGTTTGTAAGTAAAGGAACTGTCCGTTATGATTCGGAATTATCTTTTTCCTCTATAAACCAAGCAAAACATGTACTGCAAAAAAATGAGCTCACCTTCTTTTGGTACAGAACAGTACGGCTCATCATCTGATAAGCTTTGGCAGCCATTGGGGTCCCATGTCAGGCCGGCGGCATTCGCTCTTGCTGCACAAGCCTCACCGACACTCTCACAGAAAGAGCGACATGGGAGTCTACCAAAGGAAAACAAAAAGTAATTACTAATAGGTACCTTGTAGTAATGTACCTGTAATGTCTTGCCACAGGCATAACTTTACAGGGTGGCATATGTGATTACGAAAAGAGTTACCGAGCCGTTTGCTATTGACATGGGTAGGACCTTACCACTTCAAGGGAAACCGACATTACATGTACAGCTATGGACATAGAATATCAACTTACCTCATTCCTAACGGTGTGCATTCAGGGAAGATGAAGGAGCAGAGGTAGAACTGTAGATCACGATGGCAGTCCGCGATCTGGTCAAACGCCTGGAAGCTGTGGGGACTTAGATGAAGAGCGAGATCTCTGTCCCAGCCGAGCGCATTCGGATAGGTGGTGAAATTGTAAGGCATGTCCAGGCAACGTTCGAACTTCATTGGCTCGCATCCAGGAGAAACTGAAATGCAGTTTTTTATCAAGACAACTTGTTGTTACGCAGTCTATTGTACGCAAAACAGAAAGAAGTAGCTTTGATATTAGATAATCTTCAAAATGCAATATTCTTCCAAACAATTAAGCTCTATTCAGGATCTACTACTGCTTACCTGCTTCTTCTCCTGCACATGATCCGTCAGAGAGAGTAACATCGTCCACTCCTACCTCTCCATCGTCGGCCACATACGCGTCCAGAGACACCTGTAAGGAAAAAAAAACAAGTTTAGCTACTTTTTCTCGGAAGCATTCATGTTGCAGCATTGATTAAGTCTACCAAAAGAAACAATTTCATTTCCTTATTCAATGTCTAATTCTCAATATATACACAATATTGAAATTACCTTAAACCAAGGCCACCCTTTGTTTATGTTCAGATTGATGGATGACCATGCCTCCTCTTCTTCCCGAACATAAGTAGATGATTCCCGCCAGGTGCTGAAGCTATTGCCGTCCGGTCCCGTCACGTACACTGTTAACCTGCTGCCGTCACCTCTCACGAGATACCTCATCCTCAGGCATTTGTTGTCCGTGTACATAGTTGGACTTGTTAGTTTTGATGAGGCTCCATTCAGTGATGCATATTTTCCTATTCAAACCAATAATAATATAAGAAGAGCTATTTTGTTGTGGATAGCATTTATATTCAATTTGCTACATGTTTGTTTTCTTGCTGACGTGTCGTGCATCTAAACGTGCCATGCCATTCGGCGTCGTTAATCAACAATTTTTTTTTTCGGAATAATGATATAAGGGCTTTGTTTTATTGAAAAAAATTCAAATAAAAAGAAAACATTGTTAGAACAAGCGTAATGAACAAATAAAGAAAATAGCGACTAGATATTAATCAAACACTTACCTGAGTCAGATTCCGATGCTGGTTGAAGCCTGACGGCTTGGCTGCTGTTGCCAGCCATCCATTCACACGTATCAACGTCAAATGTACAGTTGAATTCTACACAAGAAAATGCAAAATTTCTTACATGCAAGAATTCACTGTAAATTTCATTATCAATCTATATATGCAACCTGTTACATCAGGAATCATCAAAGGTAAGATAGTACCAGGATACACCTTTTACGCAACCCGCTTTAGATAAACTACAATGGATACCTTTTGCTAGCTTGCATGTATCATTCTGGACAGAGTCCGGAAAGATCATGTCACAGGAGCTCTTATCAAACTGGACCCCAATCTCCTTTATCTCCTCTGCACAAGTCTGTCTGATCTCCTCACACAGGGAGCGACACAGAGGCTGGCCTCGTACACCGTCCGTAACACACTCAGGAACCGCCTGTAATAGGGTAGGACATAAAAATTGCTTACTTCAAGCTTTCAGCTTGATGTTAAGTGTTAATACAGCGTGCACAATATTACCCTGGATGCCAAACTAGTATCGGGCCGTTAGCCTTTTTCCTTCGGCAGCCGAGAGCCCTTCGCCCGCCTGCCTAAATTACCGCTACGGGGAGTTGAGCCCGAGGGGAGTTGGCTGGCCCTAGTCCGACCAGCCAAACTCCCCCCGGGCTAGACTCCCCCGTAGCGGTAATTTACACCAGCGGGCGAAGGGCTTTTGCGGCCCGGACAGCGAGTTTGGATTCCAGGGTAGCACAATATTAGTGAAATTGATGTACACATTTTATAAAAAATACACTATCAACTTATGCAGAATACACTATCATTATAATGCGAATATGTTTGGTTGAGGTATGACCTAAATTTAGTATCAACCTTTCAAAAACAGAACCATGACGCCTGCAACATGTGCAACGTCGGCTGTACATAGCAAACAGCAATATAAAATACCATACGATTGCAGTAAACAAAATAAAATTACCATATGACAGTAGACGTATTTGACGTATTCATGGCAAGACGTATCAGCCAGAAGAGACACATTCCTGTGTATGTCGGACTCTTCAATCATCATTGTGCTCTCTTGTCCAAAGTAGTTGGGGAGAGTCGATCTGTTATATGGAACTTCTCCTTGGCAGTACTCGAGTTCAATGGGCATGCAGGTGTCTGGAATACAAATCATAAATTCAATTATAGTACCATTAAAAAATTACATGATTTTTTACTGGTGCTTAATCCTTTTACCTCTTGGAAGATGGCTATATTGCTTTTTCCATCCACTGATGTTCACAGGTCAGTTTCACAATTGAAAAGAATACTATACGTATAGGGAGTTGTTATGCATATCAATTTCGTGGCTCTTGTACTTACAGTTACTATATAGACATTTTCGCCGACCTAGCAAGACTGAAAGTTGCATGATTTCTTTCGTGGTACTTTAGTCTTTAGGTATTCTGTTTTTTATTTGTATGTGAGCAACTTTAATGCCAAGTAGGAAGTTATACAGCAGATCTACCTTAACGTTCGTGACTTGCAGTTACTTACAGTTGCTGCAGTAATATTCGTCGTCATTGTAGGGACAGAGGCCGTTTCCATCACAGAACTCCCAAGCACCCACACAGCTTCCTGGAGATCCGTAACATTCGTACGCACCATCGCACGTCGCTGTATAGGAGATATCATCACAGCTTTCAGAATGGTTCTGTTGCTATCTTTTCACGACGTCTTGCTTTAGAAAAATAACTTCATGTATACTGGGATTATTCTAGAAATGAGGTCAAAGTTAACGATTTATGGTGAAAAAATAAACAAAAACAAGAAGCCATAGGCGACAATTCTCCGTGAAGTATTATATATTGCAACAAAAAGAAGTAGCCATTGGCGACAATTCTCTGTGAAGTGTGATAAATCGAACAAAGAAAAATTGTTTAAACGCGCGTCGGCTCAGTCATCTTAAGACGCAACAACCAATCAGAGATGCGAAATGCCGACACGTGACGCGGGATTTGCATACGGGGAAGGGCGCGCGATGCTCGGAATATTTTTGCGTCAATATTCAGCGCCGTGTCTCAAGAGATTAATACCGGGAAACAATTTCTTTTCTTGTTTTGAACGCATAAACATGCATTTACGCTAATCTAGTATGATTCAGGGTTACTTTTTTTTACCTGCCATGGCCAGATTATCTTAAGATGTGAGTATTGTGTGTACAATCTACAGAAAGAGAAATGTACATCAGGTCCGATCATCCGATTTTCACGTTTCGGTTTTTTGGACTCGGCTCATGAACGTATTTGGTTTGGCTCCTGGAATGTGCGAAAGAAATGACTCCCGGGACTGTCTACAGGGAACACTCGCACATTCGCGGTGTATCAGTACAGCGCGACTGGTCGGCATTAGCGCAGTCCCCGTAATTAGTAACAGTTGCACATCAATCCGGCCGAAAGCATGATTGTGTAACACAGGCTACTTCTTCATATACCGGCTCATACTACAAGACGCCTTTACAACTAGCAAATCATTAAATTATCCGATCTACTAGTATGTGTGGTTTACCAGCCCCAGACCACATCCGACCACGAGGCAGAACACATTGATGGGTTGACTCAAAAATATTGTCCATTTTCCCAAAGAGCTGCTCCACTAACACTATGGAGCGGCCCAACCCAACCCAAAAAATATTGCCCATGTGTACAGTCAAGCGGCCAGCATGCAGTTGCTACGTGACTAAATACTAGTACACGCCGCCACTAGGTCGCCACACCCGACCAGTTTGAAATCGATAGGATTACGTCATCGGTATTAACATATCCTAATGTTGACCTCTGACCACCCCACATTCCGTCCCCATCAGCCCCGCCGCGACTTACTCCACTTACTCGACTTACTACCGGTGACATAAACGGACGACAACATTTCAACGACATGGGGATGTTTAAAAAATAACCATTTACTCCAATATCAAAACAGCTACGGTAAAAATAAAAAGACGTGCATCATCCCGGACATAATGCAACACCACATGCGAAATTACACAGAAATGCGACGTACGGAAGAATGCGTTTTGGCTGCGAACATCTTCCAAAAAACTTGGCATCTCTTAACCATGGGCAAAAACATCTGGAACCACTTATAAAAACCACCCCGTATCTGCATGAACCTTTTGCCCCCCCCCACTGCTATTCCAAACAACGCGTTTTTCTGGACCATTCCAATTCGCCTCGTAATTGTAGGGGTGCGTCTGCGATATTACATTGACCGCGAAAGCAGCAACGGCAAAAATACACATTCGTGCATCAACACGGGCAT